AAAAAAAAAAGATTAGCTCCCATTGTAAAATCCCAAAACTGCAGATGCTGGCGTGGATGTGGATAGAATGGAACACTTTTACATTGCTGGTGGGATTGCAAACTAATACAACCTTTATGGAAGGAAACATGGAGAATTCTCAAAGAACAAAAAGTTGACCCTCCATTTGATCCCACAATCTCATTACTAGGTATCTATGAAGAAGAACAAAAATCATTTTACCAGGAAGACATTTGCACCAGAATGTTTATTGCAGCTCAATTCATAATTGCCAAATCATGGAAGCAACCTAAGCCCATCAACCCCAAAATGGATTAATGAATTATGGTTTATGTACACCATGGAATACTATTCAGTCATAAAAAGATGGAGACTTTACATCTTTTATGTTTACCTGGATGGAGTTGTAAAACATTCTTAGTAAAGTATCTGAAGAATGAAAAAAAAATCCAGTGTATTCAATACTAATATGAAACCAATATATAAACAATTACATGCTAATAGGAGTGATAAAACACAAATATAGTCTAGCAAGGGGGCAGGGTGAGGAGGAAGAGGGGTGGGGGAGGAAAGAGGGTGATTGACAGGAGGAGGGAGGAAAATTGGCATGATCTCAACCCACTGTGCACAATGCAAGGATGTTCAGTTCACCCTCTAGGTGAGAGGCTCTTCTACAACTTGAACTTGACCTTGGAAGTGAGAATGACGTAACCTCAAAATTTTCACCCTCATATTAATTTGAGGGAAAAAAGTATATGTGTTAACCTGAAAATGTAAAAAAAAAAAGTTGCATAGTAATATGTATAGTTAGATTCGGTTTTGTGAGGCAATAACTTACCGATGAGTATATGTTGACCTATGAATATGGAGAAAGATGTAGGATAAACTGATCTTTTATTATTGATTACTTGGGTACTTACGCTTAAGAAGGTGGTATTGGTTGATTAATTTTTCTTTTATAGTTCTCTAATGCGTCTTGTTACAATGATCTCAATGTTCCTTTCTTCCTTTCTGTCTTTCCTTCATTGTTTTATTTATTTTTTTGAGACATGGCTCAGTTGCCAGAGTTAGGGTCCAGTGGCATCATCATAGCTTACTCCAACTCCAAACTCCTGGTCTCAAGTGATCCTCCTGCTTTGGCCTCCTGAAGGGCTAGGATTACACCATGCCCAGTCACAATGATCTTTTTAAAACTGTCATTAAAAGTTGGTGTTTTGGAGGGAGCTAAACCTGGAAGTGAGAGGATGGGTGGGAACTGAGTGTAGCTTGTGAAGGGGGCTCCCTTGTGGAGGGTTAACTTCTT